CTCTCTCTCTCTCTCTCTCTCTCTCTCTCTCTCTCTCTCTCTCTCTCTCTCTCTCTCTCTCTCTCTCTCTCTCTCTCTCTCTCTCTCCCCCCGATTTAACGGACTAGGCGTAAGGTTGAACTTAGAATATGGTCGAACGCCAACGATTGAAGGTCCTCTTGCCGACTGCTACAGTAGAACTTGGCGTAAGGTTCATATAAGGGTATGATGGTTTGTTTTTTCCGTATTTTTAGTGGATTGATTTCGAAGTTTTCTGCTGTTCAGAAGACAGGGTCTAGGACGACAATGATGGTGGAGGGAGTGTCGGTTCGGACCCCCGATCTGAAGATCCAAACCACCGTGCTAGGTGGTTAGTAGATAGGCTAGCACATCAGTAGCAGTAGGTTATATGCTAGCACATTAGTAGCAGTACGTTAGTTCTTTTTCTTTTCTTTTTTCTTTTTTCACAATCCATCAATTCATTACAAAGTCTCCGACAAGCCGGGGACCTCGCAATTCAACTCGGAGAAGGAAACTGGCAGCATCAGCCAGCTTAGCTAACAGATTCTTGCCTGCGAAAAGTCGCTGCTAACTTTCCAGTTCCTCTGCGAGTCTGAAACTTCTGCTGTTTATCAGTCTTTCCCCATCAAAACTTCTGCTGTTTATCAGTCTTTCCCCATCATCCTTGATGAAACAGGCAGTGCAGAACGTCACTCGGATAGATTTGAGACCGGGCCACGAGGCAGGAAAAGGAGGAAAGTTTGATATGGGACGCTGGACCCGGTTTCCAGCACAGTGGTTATGTCCTGATCATTGCATGCATGGTTCAAAGATGTATAATTCAAAAAAGGGACGCTGGGCCCGATTCCCAGCACGTGCCGCTCCCCACGAATGGATCGGAGCAATTCTTCAAAAAAAAAAAAAAAAACGTCGGAGAGTGGGCAAGTCTGGAATCTGGCTCTGTTCCGGTCAGTCCAGATGACCTCACAGATGATCCCTCTGACTGCGTGGGCCACATATCCCCATCCTTTCCGGCCTTTGTGGTTTGTAGGCAAGAAGCCCAGGAGTACCCACCACTCATCCCAATCTAATTACCCCCCTCCGAAATCTCTCCAGTGGGATTCCGACCACTTCCAAATCCGCTCGGATGCTGGGCATTCCCACTAGAGATGTCTTGTGGATTCAAATGGCCAGTTACACCTAGTGCAACGTAGGTCTACTACAACCCCTCGCCTCAGCAGCCAGACCGCCTATGGAGTTACTAGCAGAGATAGCATCCATAGGATGCTTACCTGTTTTCCATTCGGGAGGTAGGTGAGTGTCTTCCATGGGAGTTCAAATTGAGATTCTTGTCCTTCGAGGTTCTCAGTCAGAACGGCTTGCCATCTGGACACCGCCACTGAAGCTGGCGATCTGGTGCTGTTGTGACGCCCAACCTGACGCCCAGTGCGACTTCCTGTTTAGGAGTGACAGAGGGCCTGGAACTGCGTAAAAGGGGTCTGCCAAGGTTTTAGGAAAGTGGGGAGGAGTCCCAGGTAGGAACTGAGATCTCTGGTGTCAAGTTTCAATGACAGAAGTGCAAGTGGTTCAGTGGAGGGCCAGGTATCTGATCCGTGCTTCCCGGAGCCGGACGGTTAGTTTTGTCGGCCTCGTCGCCTGGGGCGGGCTTGTATTTTGTGTACAAGGGGAACGCAATGGCTGTCTCTCTGCTCCAACACCTGTCGTCTACGGGTTTCACAGACCTCCGAGTCTGACGTGGAAGGCCTCAGCCGGAGGCTGCGTTCTCTGTGCTCAGCTTCGGAACGGCTTCGCCGGACAAATCCCGCGGCCCGGTAGGCGAGATACTGCCGACACTCAGAGCACGGCCTTCGGGGTCAATAGGGGGCTATCACGTTCCAGGGGACGACTGTTAGATTGTGGTAGGGAAGAAGGAGGTAGAATGGAGGGAAATCGGTTTCGATGGCGACAAACCCCAGTTGCATGTAGGGCTGGTAGTTATGAGTGTCGTGGTAATCCGGGATCCGGGGATTTTGTCCTATGGCCTACTGGAAGTCCCACGCACACAACCAATCGTTCTTAGTTTGGCATAGAAATTCATGAAGCCTCAACCTCGATCGTTGAAAGAGGTGCTCGTTTTCCCTGTACCTCCGGTACTCGCGGTCCCTCAGACCATCATGGTCAGTGATTCAGAATTGGAATGTCGATGTCCATGTCTCGCGAGGAAATTTCAATTCATACATTTGTGCGTTCATGGCACAGCCTGGTTGAAGAAGGATCATGCAGACACTCGTATACAGGATGACCGCCTCATCTTTTGGTCATTCGTATACATGCATGCACAGGATCTGTTTCCGACAGGGTTTAAGACAACTCGCTATGCATGCATCTATTCTACTCTTGGTCTATTTGGGAAGACGACATCCGTAGACTTAATGCAATTTGGACAACCGATCAAGGAGCATACGCAAACATACGGGTGCGCACAAAGGAAGAGAGAAGGAGCAATTTCTCATACATCAAACAACGAGACGTCCGAACATGCAACAATCCCCTGACTCATCAATGGATATCATTCGTGCCTTTGAGGCAACCAATCAATCAATTGAAACTGCAACCGCCGGATATCCCTGGTTCACCAAAAAGAAAGGGGCGGGGGAAAAGGAGATAATTCACACATCAATCGAAAAGGAAAAATTCGAGATTGTCGCAAACAAAGGTGGCCAATGCCAAAATCAAAATTATACAGAAGATGCGGCGAGAAAACACCACTCCAACACCTCTCTCTCTCTCTCTCTCTCTCTCTCTCTCTCTCTCTCTCTCTCTCTCTCTCTCTCTCTCTCTCTCCGTTGCCTCGCACCTACCAACAACACGGAGTTGTCACCCCGCTTGGCCCAAGCATGCAAGCCAGGTTCGTCAGTGTGCCACAGTCCTTCGCGGCCACATGTAAACCCCGCATACTCAGCACTAGACCATCGGATCGCCCAACTCCCTACTCACCGTCTTGCTCTTGCATATTAACCGATCCTCTTGACCGCGCTAACTCCAAAGTGTAGATTAGAGAGCGAGCTAGTCGAGCTTTTGGAATTTATAGCACTTAGTATCTGCGCGAGATAATCGGGATTGTGCTAAAGTGGAGGGAAGAGGAAGGAGGAAGTGCCTACAATTGCATGGCCGAGTCACGGCGTGGGGGACATAGCCACTCTCCACGCATCGATCCAGTCATGCACTTGCCCAATGAGACAAAGAGAAAGAGGGCGCGTGCTCGAAAGGAAATCAATAATGGAAAGATTACAGTTACATCCGCGCTTGCCAAGAAGAAAATACAGTTACGTGCAAAATTAAAGCATGGCTAGACCAGAGCACAGGGTCGGGCACTGTAAGGCGCGCGCAAGCAAGAGGTATCGTGCAGTAACAAGCAAAAATTACGATCTCCCCAAATTTCTAGTCTAATTAAAGTCTTATTTGCAAAATAATTTTCGAAAACCCGTGCGGGTTCCTTGCAAGTTCAAAATTCAAAAAGATTTATCGCCCGGCCCCGCCAACAAAAGGAAAAAGGCGCAACGACCGTTATTCCCTCTCGCTTGCGAAGTTGCGGACTAACCACCACGATTCTTGCAAGATCCAAAAAAAAAATAAAAAAAAATAAGGGCACTTGTGCAATTCGTCCCCGATCTCATCTAAGCACCCCAGAACCTGGACATACAAAAAGTGACACTCATCAGAAAGGAGATTGTCACATATGTGACGCCCAGGGGGTTCCAAACTTAGCCTCCGATGATTCTGCCGAAGAGACGAAAAAGAAGCAGTGACACTCAATATCATATTTACACGTATCAATTATCGTATGATAAGAGTATGAATATCTTTCATATAACACGTGTACAATTCCACCCCGAATCTACCTTTCTAGTTCTGGGGCGTATGGCAGCTCAGAACGGGAGGGGGAGATGGAGGATGAGAGTTGGGGAGAGGGGGCAAGAAGCGTTGCAATGCAATCACTCCAGTGGGGAGTCGGGCATAGTGGATGATGCAATGGATGCGAGGGAATCAGTGATTCTGATGCGGGAGGGAGGCCAAGTAATCTGGGTAGAGGGTGCAGAGGGTGCGGGGGATGGTGGCGCGAAACTGCTCATAGTGGTAACATGCGGGGATAGTTCCCGTGATTATGCAGTAAACCTCTATATTATTATAGTTGCGCCATGCCACACTGAAAAAAAGGATATAAGGACGGAAGGAAGCGAGGGAGCGAGTGGTCGGATGAGGGAAAACGGTGGTGATGAGCCAGGTGGAATAAAGCTCGTAGAATAGGGAAGGCGGAAAGGGGTGCCAACTAAGAGGAAATGGGGAGCGGTTCTCGACTTGGTGGAGGGTGTGGTAATCAAGGGGACGGTGGGATAATGACCGGGGACAACGCCCGATTGCTCACATCTATACGTATGCGATGAGCGGGCCATGGTGGAGGGGATTGAGGCGGCGAAGTTCTTCTTCTTCTCTTTCTGCTACTAGACCCTGCTGCAGTGATGCCGCAATCTCGTTCAGACTCTTCTTATGGCGGCTCCGGGCCACGTGTAGGGTCGTCATGTAAAGGCGGCTGCGATAATCCGGCCTGTTGATCTATAGGTCGCTTCCCCTCCGCTCTTTCTTGCCTCCATTGTGCAGTCGCCACGTCTTCTGACTCGCTCCATTCCGCGCTGATCCATTCTGTTCTCCCGACTCACTCTCACTGTGCTCGCTATAGGCAGAACCACTCGATTCTATTTCCGTGCTATCTTCCGCCTCATTCTCAGTGGTCGCTACATCCAGTGCTCCCACTTGTTCCCATAAGTGGGGATGGATTACCTCCACCGACTCCAAGTACTTGCTTATCGACGGGTAATAGCGGTTCTCACCGTATGTCTCGGAGCAAGGCGTCCATAATAGTTGGGGTGTCAAGGCTCGCTCCAGAGTGTTGTGCGCGGGACACTGATGGCATTGAGCGATGATGCCCAAAGGTAGATCGTCGAGGAGCTGTGCCAGAAATACCAGCAATTCGTCTGTAATCGACACCAGATGATCTATGCCCACCAGCCCGAATAAGATCCCCACCAACTCGCCTTCCATGTCGGTCCTCCACGCCTGAATCACCAACAGCTCCACCTCGTCGTTCGGGATCTCGTCTTCGTTTGCCACGTCAGACTGTTCAGACCAGCGGAACATGATTTTGAGCAAGCAGAAACTGAGTGACACGTACGTGTCCCAGCATGCTCTCCACCTGGCCTCATTCAAGATCGACACATGGATCTCCTTGGCACGAAAAGATAGGTGTGTGCTGGTGGCGGACTGCCAAAAGACGGGTAAGTCAGAGCATAGCCTGAATGTCGAGAGTCGGTGCTGGTTCATCATCAAAAGGAGTAAGTTCGGGAAGGATCACCTCAGGCTCCATTCAATGAGTTCGGATTTGGTGCACGTCGACGATGTTGGTGTCGACGATCCGCTCCTCAGGCCGCACGAGAAGTTGTCTCCACGAGGCCATAAGTTCCCTCGCCCAATCCCGTAACAAGTTAAGGATCTCCATGTGGAGCCCTTCGTCCAACGTTGTGAGGTCCCTGTTGAAAGAGACAATCACGAAGACGTGGCTAACTCCTGGTATTGACAACCGTAAAAAGGTCGATGCCTCGGCCTGCACCCTCGCTCTGTTGGCAGTGTGGGTGAACCTGAACTCTGCTGCCGCGTGCTGAGTTGAAGAACTTTGTAAACCGAAAGGAGATCCGAGCTCATCCAAGGGTGTTGTGCTTGTCGAATCGATGAAATGTGGCCCCGTGGCATCAACATACGTTGGCTAATCACCTGCTCAGTAGAAAAGCTCGTGGCGAAGATGAAGAGAGAGAAAGTGAGAGCCCGTGAGAAGGGGAGGAAAAAGATTCAGGATCGTTGCTATCCCACTCAAAAGACGGGGGTGATGCAGGGGGAGAGGTAGGAGAGGAGGTAGAAAAAAGGTTGAAGATAGGACATATGGCGGATGATCGGCCTGGCTGATCGACTGCCCGAAACCTCGGGAGCAAGGCACACCATGTTCACCCCGTTAGGACCAAGCCCGACTACACGGAATTGACCAAAGAATTGTGGCGCAAGTTTGCCTTGACGAGCGCATTTTCTCACTTGCACTCCGTCCCCTCATTTATACCAGGGTCGAGGCCCAACGTTCCTGTTTTGGGCTTCGTAACTTCGGACCTGCCGCCTTAGGCCAATTCAGTCATTCGCTATCTTTTTCGGGCTAGTCGAGGGAGGTCCTTTTCCATCAATTCAAGGTGACGCTTGACTTTTTCCTTGGCCGTTGCCCTTGTGGAACGTCAACCTAGGGTCGTTTCATCGTCTAGGCTCGGTAGTGACACACAGGCTAGGTTGTTGGCCCGTAACTGGAAAGGGGACAGTCCTGTTAATTCGTAAGGCATGCCTTGGTGAATGGCTAAGATCATATCTACAATATCGGGCCAGGGTCTCGTATCTCTAACCGCGATATTCCGACACAGGGCGGTCTTGATCACTCGGTTCGCATTTTCTATGAGACTGATCAATTGCGACATATGAGGTGTCGTATTTCAAATGGAGACGCCATGTACAATTAGGTTCCTCATGACTTCTCCTCGGAATTTTGCTCCATTGTCCGTTAGGATTTCCTCCGTGTCCTGATGCATTCCGTGAAAACGGTTGACATACCGTACAATCTTTGTCGTTTGTCTCATCTTGCATGGGTAGGCCTCGATCCATTTGGAAAAATGGTCTACAAATACAAAAAGGACTAAATATTCACAGTTGTTTGGCCCAGGGGGAACAACAATATCCGTCGTATCCATGCTAACCCTTTGAAACGGCCGTTCAACTACAGTTGACACAATGGACCTCGGTGACTAGACCGACGTTTTGTCTGGCGCTCAGACTGGACAATTTTTGACGATGAACTTAACATTGTCCCCAATATTAGAACAATACCATTCATTCTTGTTGATAGCTAACTGCGTAATCCTGACGGCGAAGTGAGCGGCGGTTTCTTCATGTGTTGACTTAACCCAGTCATACCTCATAAACGGATGCGGTACGGACATTCAAATTCCACTTCCGTCCGTCTTCCGCTTTTCTAGCTGTCCTTCGCTCCATCTATAATCCCGAGCTCTCTCATTGACTCGTCTCCTATCCTTCTTGGAGAATTCTCGAAAAGAGTTTCCGACAATTGTTGCTATCATGGGGACATTTGTCCATACTTCTACGCATCTAAGTCATCTTGTTTTTTCAGTCCTCCGATGTAGCCTCTAGAAATCGAGCTTCCGTGGGGATCTTATCAGCGCGGCATAGAGGGCAAAGCCAAGGCTTTTGAGTGTTCTATATTGAATGCACGACCCGTGGGCTTTCGAGACACACTTAGTGCAGTCTATCCAATCGACATAGCCTTCTCTGTGTGGTCACATCAAAACATAATAAACTCGTGAAATAGCTTCACAAAAAATAGCAAAATTGATCTGGCAAGGAAAAAAAGGAGGAAGAAGCAGGAGAAAGGGCCACGCGTCACTTCCCTGTCGGTCGAGGAAGAACCTTCACTTTTTCGTACGTCGGCCCCTTGGGTGGCTCCAGCTCCTTCCACGGGGTGATCTCTCCTATTCGTGGCACCTTGCCTGGACGGTGTAATCTGGTCAACCTGTCTGCATTTTTGTGCTTCTCCGTTTTCCAATGAATGATGTCGAAATCGTATTCTTGCAGCCTTATCGCCCAACGTTCAATCATCCACGTGTAATTGGTGAGCTCCTTGAGAGCCAATAAGGGCTCAAGATTCGTTATGAGGAGGAACTCTTGTCCGTATAGGTACGAATGAAATGTTAGATCCCCTAGACCATAGCATAACACTCCCCTTAAGGAACCGGTGTCGCACTTTTTCCAGTCGAGCCTCTTTGGGCAACCGGAAAGCCAACACGTTGTCACGCAGGATTTTGTATGTGATTGCAATAAATTAAATAATGCAAATCCCTTCCTGTTGTGTGCGTCCGGCTTCGAGCCAGACCCTTCAATTGCGATCTTCGCCGATCCCTGGTCTTAGGAATCTATTATTTTGATTCGGAACAACGGAGAATTAATACAAACAATAATCATAAAATTATAGGGTGCTATGCATGCATCAATTATGTCAATCTGATTTTGAGAACTATGACAAAATGTCCACAATGACAATCATCAAGCAAGAATAATGCAGAAAACAAGACTGACTGACTCGAACAAAACAAAGGCAATCGAGTGAGGGAAGAATGGGAACTCATAATAATCTCAGAAAGTACACATAAACGAGCGTGGTCAGCACCTCTGAAGAGTCCTCACTCATCCCTCTGGTCCATCTCTCAATCTTTTTTCACTACTCCTCTCTGGTGTCGAGGTCCACGCCTAAGTACAATCTGAGACTGAGGCTTCGTGACGAAAAGCCATCTGTAGCCAACTAGCTCTGAGCATGACCATCCGAGGCACATAACACGGTAGTTAACCATTGAGCAAAACTCCTCCCACAAAATAGGCAGTCCATCCACTAAAAAGACTCCTCGTCTGAGGTAGGGGTACTCGCTAGGCTCTGTCAACGCCCCAATGTCGATCACCGCAGGAGAGATATACCTCTTTGCCAGACCAATCATATCCAGCCAACTCGTGCCATCAGTGAGAAGGGAAGGGACTGGAGGCCTAGCATAGTCAGTATAAAGCATCGGCCCGAAGCTGTGGATCAGAGTAGTGCCACTCTCGTCGAGCTCCCTCTCCCTCTGCTCGAGATACCTTGTGGCAGAGATCCAAACTGCGTCAAAATGATCATGAGCCTCCTTCCCTTTTTTCAGGTATGGCCTCAGGTCATGAATAGTACCATCGGCAAAGCTGGTCTGGACAACGAAGATTGACAGATCTCCCTGTTTGAAACCAATGGCATTAACATACTGATAATGGAATGCCTCTTTGCAAGAAATCCGATTGAGGTTGGCCAACACTGACTCACTGACCGACGCAGACTGAACTGTGCTCATGAGTACCTTTGCCAGTACAGGCTGATCAGACGGTCCCGGATAACTGACTACCAAGCTGACCGCAAGGAACCGATTACTGGAAAACTAATTGCTGATAATAGATTGCTGATTAAATGAATGCTAATGATTGATTGTTGATTAAATAATGATGACTGATTGTTGATTGTCCAGGTAGGTGAGTTGTTATTGTTCAGAGACAGAACACTCACTGATGGCCGCTAACGATCCTCCTTGCTTCCTCAATAGTGCCCACTGAAGTTATGGTGGCACATAACCTGCCAATCTTATCATACAGGTAGTACGTGTATTCGATTTTTGTATGATCCCTCACGAGAACCAGCGCATGTTCCATCATCATAGCAGTCCGCTGATTGTACTCCTCAACTGCTCTCTCCCTCCAGGTCTCTTCAGCACTCTGATACAGCAAGCAGAAGACTCTAACTGTGTTGCTGCTGTCCATATTCTTACTGAATTYTCGTTACATCAGATCACCAAACTCGAAACGCGTGACTCTTGGATGATATAAGTGTGAAAAGACTATTGGGCAGATTGCTGTTTTGAATGGTTGTTTCAGATTGTCATTTCCTGCTGTTGTTCCTGGTTGTTGTTCTAGATACAGTTCTCTGTTGTCATTCGCTCACCATTTGATTACTAGTTGATTGCTGTTAATACGATTACTGCTCTGGAGGGTGGTTTCCAATTACTGGCTGATTGCTGCTCTGAAAACTAATTGCTTGATAAAGTACACTCGTTGACGTTTGAGTTGGCTGTTTGCTGATTACATGCAAATTGAGAGGCAACCGAATCCACAGTTAAATACCGTTCAGAGCACCATCCTAAGTACCGCTCTGAACGTGGCTCCAAGTACTTGTCCTGAGAACTGCTCTGAGTACAGCTCGAGGTACGGTTACGAGTACTGCCCAAGTACAGTTCCGAGCACAGTTAAGTCCAGAGTACAGAGCCCAAATCCGGACCTGAATACCTTTCAAAGTAGTCTGAGTCCTGATTTGAACACCTTCTCTTTTGGCCGGTTAGATGTTGATTAGTCGCTGACTCAAAACTGAACGCTGTAGTTTGACTGTTGACGGTGTAGATTGAGTGTTGTTGATGTTTGCTGATAAAGGGCAAGATGCTAGAGGTCGAGATAACAGTAGTCTGTCAATGAACGCCCGCTGTCAGATCAAGTTGACCGCAAAAATTGTCATTCAAAAGTGCTTTCTCTGGCCA